TGCTGTTGCTGCTTCTCCATTTGTTTTAAAATCAAAGTCATTTGATTGGTGTTCTGTTCAGCTTGGAGTTTTTGTTGTTCTTTTGCTAGTTCCATCTCTAACTTCTTGTGCTTCAATTCTTCCTCCTTGGTTTTTGCATCAGTGACTGCTTTCTCTCTAAGCCACTCAATAGTGTCTGATGGTCTTCTTCTACTTGATGTTTTTACTTGCACTACTTCATCGTCTGAGTCATCATCTGAGTCATTAAGAAATGACCTCTTTTTCTTGTTTAGCCTCTCCATTGCTGCTATGCGTGTTGCCTCTGCCTTTTGTTTGTCTTTGCTGACAGCTTCTTTTTTCAAATTGCTCTGTTTCTCAGTGTCATCAGCAAGAGCAATTAAGTCATCTAGCAGAGATTCTGCCTCTGAAGGCTCTTCTCCACTTCCACCACTTTCCCTCGACTCTCTAGCAATCTTTGTTTTATATTTTTTTAGTATGGTGCTATATCTGTCTCTCACAGACCTGGATGACAAATCTTGGAAGCTCTCGCCAGAGGCATTCACGCACACTCGCAGACGCCAAGAACACAACCGGAAGTAAAATTTGACTCGTCCCATTCCGATCGTGAGGTCTCGCGTCCTCTTCGAAGTTCGCGTCTTCGATCTAAAGCAGTCTTATATATCCAATAAAACACGCACTCGAGTTCTATAAACGACTTCAAGAACTCCAACATTCAGAATTGTTATCATTCTAGAAAAAAGCTAAAAAATGCGAAAACAGTGATAATGCATATTGAACTTCTAATGAGCATGTGTATAATGTGCCACAATTGAAAGAATTTTGATCCCACACGAAAGAACGGCTAGTCTATGCTATAGTGCATGTCGGAACATTGATTCAAACTGATTTAAAACCTAGCAAAGGTCTATGATGCGACATTATAAAACTCATTAATATTCATAAGGCAAAACACAATAGAAATCATAGCCCATGAAGAGAGTTGTATATTACATACAGATCGCCCGCTCATATTGTATATATTACTTAAAAAACTCATACATAATTAGTACGGCAATTTCTCCAAGAATTTTAACCGATTTGAGTTTCAAATTAGTGTTGGAGTTTTTTTAAGCCGTTTAAAACACTCGAGATCGTGTTTTATCAGGTATAAAGATTCTCGCCTTCGGCTCGAATCTTTATACCTGATAAAACACTCTCTCTCGTGCAATCCGAAAATATCATAGTATAGGCAAATGATTGCTTTAGAAGTTGCTAAATTGTAACTTGAAAGCAGACAAAGTTGAACATCATTTTGCAGACGACSATCCACCTTCAAATGCCAATATTTACAGCAAATAAACATTTTCTCAGAGATCTAAATCATCTTGATTTTTTATTTACAGGTCATCCTGATGATACTGGAGGTGCAGCAATTACCAAATACGTCCTGGAGATAGATGATGGAAAAGGTTAATTYCTATTTGTTTGGATAGTCGTGGGGAATAATATGTCTATAGTAGTAATAATTTCCTGACCGTTTGATGATAATCATTGTTGTGTCATATGATCGTCCGAAAACTAGCCTTTGCAAATAGTGCTCAATAGCGCTAAATAGTGTTCCTTAGACTATAGAAAAGCTATTTTAACGGTGTCGTCTAGATACCAGAAGTACATAACCAGAAGTGTCCATCTCCCCAATAATATCCACACCATCANTCCCTAGTTTTTGCTGACCATATTGCTCTTGAAATACTTTTGCTACATTGATCATATAGTAAAGTATGTTTTCTATAGAATTCAAAAATGATTGTTCAGCAAAAGGTGTAAAATTCTCGTAAATGCGAACTTCAATTCGTTCGCCTCCATCTACTACATAATTTTCCTTTCTTGTCCGCGCTCTTGAAGCAGATCAACAAGGACCAATCAGGTGCTGTGTAAGATGTGCGCGCGTTGTGATTGGTTGTCTAAAAATAGATTATCGGGACATCTGATGGTGGCGATGTTATTGGGGAGATGGACACTTCTGGTTATGTACTTCTGCTAGATACAGCATTTTTAGAACAACGATCGGAACGAAGGGAACGGGTCAAAAAGTTTATTTTGCTTCGATCGTAATARCATTACCTCTAGTTTCCACCATTTTTAGAATTTTACTACATGATTAACAAAGGATCCAAATTTATATTGTGTAAATTTTGTGAAAACCGGGTGTAAATTTATGTGTTTATGGGGAAATCCAGGAAAACACTTTTACAGCTATTTTGAACAAATTAAGCCTATTTTTCCGCTATATCTCAGGGACATTTAATTAGAGGTATTGTTTAACTATTACCAAAGTTAKGGCGAAATTTATCGTGGAAAGATACATGTAGCATCATGCGGTCCTTAAATTGGAGCAAATGGGCAATTGTGTATATATCAACACACTTTATATCGCGTAAAAATCGATGAACTGGCAAATGAGAGATTTGAACGCCTTTGTGATTGGAAGAGCTGACACATAATGTGTGACAAAAATTTCCGAATCACGGGATTTTCATTATGCATGCATGTGATGTTGATTTTTGCATCAAACATTGTTTACCATCATGGTGGGGAATACAATGTTCAATTTTTTTCTTCGAGTTCTAAAAAAGAGGACAAAAGCCGTAACAATTTGACACTATACTACAACGTGTCGTTATGCCTATTTTGCCATTCATTGACTTTTACCCAAAAACCTGTTCGAGTGGGTCGCGTGCTACGAAGTGTGGTCGACGACAACCTTTTGTAAATCGACTATATACAGCTATTTCAAAAGACRTTGTCGGGGAGAACGGCGAACGGCGATTGTCAAAGGGAGATTGCACGACCGAAAGGGACTATGGTTACACTGTTTTGATAAACAAAATTTCACCTATTGGAATCACCTTACTCAGAAATGGAGACTAAATGGAGCCAATGTTTACCACAGACTATCTTACAGTGTAAATCAGTTGTTATTTCATTTCACCAAGCACAACCCATGGCTACTTTSGGTCGTTCGACAATTGACATTCRCCATCTTATCCGACAACCCAGGGCCGACAACCTTTTTTTAAATAGCTATATGAAACCTTTAATTCCSCTATTGTCCATTTAAACAGTGGCTTACGATAACAAGTAAATACTCTTGCATAAATTGCGATGTAACTGTGAAATCACTTACGCAAAATGTACAATTTTTGTTACATTTTTTATGTAAAAAAAATGAGCAATGTAGCGAAAGGCAGTTCAAGAGCAATATGGTCAGCGAAAACAAGGGAAAAGTTCAGACAAAGACGAAGAAAGATGTAAAACAGCGTGCGAAGAAATGTATGCAAAAAATTCAAATGTGGTTTTTGTGGCGAGAATTGAACTCGTTTTGAGTAGAAATCTGTTCCAATAAAATTAAAAACTCTTTACCTATACAAAGAATTGTAGTAAAGGTAATTTAGGATTTAAATAGCTTTGTAAAAAGGGAAAAATATGTCTTAAGATGCCCGAATAAGACGAGTGCGAAAAACTTGTGTCACAAAAAGTCAATCAAAAACTATTTTAGCAAAATGAGGTTTGACTAAAATTGAATATTGTGAACTCAACATTGCGTAAGGAGTTTGGAATAATTGTCCTTTGAAAGAAAAGCGAAGAATAAACAAACTAGCGAATAGGTACAAAAGTTAATAACGAAATCATGTCAAATTTGTTTACAATAAAAAGATAAAGTTGAAAAGCCACAAACAAGAAAAGTYGTCAAAGAAATATTGATAACTAACTTGAATTTCAAAACCCCGCCTACCTGAAAATTTACAGCTTTTCCATTTCAGATTAAAAGTCGAAAATAGCTTAACCTTTGGCTTTGTCTAAGTCCGACTCTATTTGACTGTAAGGAAGCTACTTTTTTCGCACGCTGTTTTACATTTTTCTTCGTCTTTGTCTGAACTTTTCCCCTGTTTTTCTCAGACCATATTGCTCTTGAACTGCCTTCGCTACATTGCTCATATAGTAAAGAATGTTTTCTACCAAATTCTGAAATGGTTGTTCCGTAAAAGGTGTAGAATTCTCTCGTAATGAAAGCTTCACTTCCTTYGCCTCCATCGACTACATATTCCTTTTTCTTGTAGATCAACAAGGAACAATAAGGTGCCGTGTAATATGTGCGCGCGTTGCGATTGGTTGTCTAAAAATAGATTATCTTATCTATCAACTTTTTGACCCATTTCGTTCATTCCGGTCGGTATTCTAAAAAACTGTATCAAGACAACTYAATTATAGAAAACTTGTTGATGGTTTTAGCGTTTGCACTCCAGTTTAAAATATTTCTTGTTCCTAGCAGAGTTACTAACTAYGAGACAACATGCAATTTTACTGAATAAGACGCTGTGATTGGCTAAAATATTTTTGAATATATTTAAGCAATGAACAACACATTTTCGTGCGTTCCTATCGCCTCCGGCTCACGATTTTTTACGCCTTTTTCGTGTTCTCCCAACATCCAAAGTAGTTTATTTCACCAGGAAAGCACGAAAATGTGTTGTTTATTGCYTTTATATTATAGCATTTCGTATCCGTGCTTTAACCGGCAAAATAAACAAAATAAATCAATGTCTTTGATAAGTCAGATAGTGGGCAAAAAAAAAAAMAACAACCGAGGCGAACTAAGACCGACTTATGGAATATGTCTAGTCCACAACTATTGTTGTTGGAAAATCTATTGTTCCAGTGGTGCTTCTTCTTCRGTGGTTATGTTATGTGATGATAATTATTTTGTTCAGTCTATTGATGTGACTAAACACAGTGGTCGTGAGCTAGTTAGTGAATCACATGACTTGTCTAATAAATCTTATTGTCTTCAGGTGGTACTTTTAAGGAAATTTACAGTGGACTACAGTGTGAGCATGCTGTCAATAGCTTATCTCCCGGCCATATGTACAAACTTCGTGTCCAATGTCATAGTGAAGGTGGATGTAGTGAGGTGAGTGCAGAGTTAGTAACTGGGTAAGTGTAGCACAGCGTAGCACCCAGATGACAATGAATTCCTCCCGAAACTAACTCTTATTTATACGAACCTTTTAAAAATCCTTTTTTTGAGAWGGATCGTGACAGTTCATAGTGGCTATTATTGCAAGCTAGTTTTTTCCTGGTAAAGTATTGCAAAATTGGCCGGAGACGAGATTTAATTGGGTAAATGATGGCTAAATATTTGTATGGCATGATTTAACGTCTTTGTTTAAGAATAAAATAACATTCCTTTTGATAGGTTGTGTTTTGTTCCGTTCGCTTCTCRTTGATTTCTTGCTCACTCCATATCCCTCGATTTAAATACAGCTAGAAATCAATGCACGTTGGAATTATTTATGTCAGAAACAACTCAAAAAGTAAAATAGGAAATTGAACACTGAATTGGACAAGTCAGTTTCAAGTTATTTTTTTTATTTTGAATGATCTGGGCTTTTATTATTTTGCATACTGGAACTTTGTACACCTTTTGCTGTTCATTTACGCAAATTTTGCATTAATTTACATCAGCAGTAAAAACAGCAGAGCGAAAAAACATTTATTTGCATTATCTTATGTTTCAATAACGCCAAGAAGCATTCAACTACATGATTTACATATGCAGTGACATTCAATAGCATTAACAGATCAACAAGTACACCTTTGGACAATCAAAGATAACGAACGTACATTAAATCTCGCGGTATGGATAATCATCAACACCAAGATACAACTAATTACATCGATTGACAATCAATAGTGCATAAGAGACATTCAATAACAAAATTTCCATAAAGAAGAACAATCGATTGCGCCTTAATAGACCATATGAAAAAGGGCGTGGCTATTGTAAGAACATATTACGATGAATAAGATCTGAAAGTTTCAATGCTCTAACATTTAAGGACCAAAAGTTACAGGTGTTTGAAATTGCAAAGGTTTGAGTGAAAATCAGTATTGAGGCATAACCAGCTTTTAGTTTTTAGTAAAATTCAAATGCGCGTAACTCTGCTGATATTCAACATTTGAAACTAAAACCTTCTTCAATGTACTAGTTTATAAATACTTTTCTTATGGTGAAAACAGAGGTGMTCATTTCCAGTCTTCTGCTCGTTTTTCATATGGTTAATACAATTATTCCAACCTCGTTCCAAGGCCCTTTATTTCTATATTATGTCTARGTTAAAATGGCGGAAAGTAAAACGCCGACAAAGACTTTATCAAGAAATCGCTKTAGGCTTTGTCGTGAGCTCACTGAGAGCCGTTATGTGGTCAATTTATTATAAAGCAGGGTTAGCGCAAGAATTATATYATAAAAACGAGGCAACTTGTGCTATTTCGATTCAAGAAAACGACGATCAGTCTTCTACTGTGTGCAGAAAGTGCATAAATTTCATAAACAAGATGTTCTATTTTGTAAACAAGGTGCGGAACAATCAAAGCGATTCACAACAACCCGTTGAATATTCACTCAAACGATGTATTGAAGTGTCGCCGTCGTCATGTCAGCAGCCAAAGAGAATGTCAAAAGCGAGGATTTCCGCGAAGCAATTGTTTCCTTCTGCCGGACATCCCAACAATGAAGAAGGGACGGTTCGGTCTACAGCAAATGTCCAAAGTGAGTCTATCTTGATGGAAAAGCAACAGAGGATGCTTTGAAGTGCAGTGAATAGCAAGGATGCCGTCGTACGGGCTAAGGTCATTCATGAGCATTGTCAAAATGTTTCTAGAGCAATTCAAAGCCTTCGTATGAAGGACATTGAGACATGCAGTGTTAAACTCTGTAAACGTAAGGGAGGCTCTCTTTYGCACAATCGAAATGATTTCAAATTTGACGATATTTGGAATGAATTAAYCGAGCATTTCCCCTTCTTTGTGAGCGGTATGGAAGCAGTTACTGGAAGACAACAAAGCAAAGATGTACGTGTAATGTACAGCTTYATATATTCAATACTCATGTCTGAAAGATGGCACGAACTGAATCTCGTCAAACGCATATAAACACGATTCTTGTAATCGAAGGTGGCTGCACTAAACAGGTGAGATTAAAATATACTTAAGAAATATAAGTTGATTTTCTTTCACAAATAGCTTTCGCCGAGACTTCAAAAAATCTTGTAATAGCCTACAAATGCAAATCAATTTATAATATAATTTTTGTACGTACTGGTCAAGGACTACCAAGAATAGTAAAAACTAGTTTCGTTTAATAAAAAACCTCTTCAGTTCACTGTGTTTGACAACAGTTTTAGAAAAATTCGTAAACAAACATTGATGGGGAGCGCGCACTAACGGCGCGCGCACAAACACAAAAAGGGGGAAAGGGGAGCGCGCATACAAAATAACTACTGTAATTAATTAATTAATTAATTATTGCACGCGGGATATTTGTAAAGTTCCATTCCTTCTTCGTGTTCATTTCCGGCTTTACTTTGTTTATAATCACGGCTTCACTCACTTGTCTGAGCAGAGCGTCTCCCTGGAGTACATTAGTCACATCACATGTGTAATCAGGAATTTTCCCTTCGTGCTCCTCTTTCGCGTGACTCCACAAAACTGACCCTTTACTTTTATTGTCCAACTCTCTTTAAGTGTTCTCTTCCTCTCATGTATGTGTTTCGGGATGTTTCCCTATGTATGTCTGGCTGCTCTCRCTGCAACTGATGTTATACGTTGTATTGGCCGCTCTACAARGACCATTACCTCCTGTACAGCAAACAAAGCAATCCTCTCTGTTACATGTTTTCTTTCTGAATGGATTCGATCTTTGTGGCATCCTTTTCACACTTATCACACATCCTCTTCCAACTTCTTCTTTAACTAGGAATTAGGAGTAGTTGGTATGAAAACTACGCTGCTATATCCACCTTTCTTGTACCAGTTGTTCCTCTTATTTCGTTTCTCGTTCTCTCTTTCTTTTCTCTTCCATTCTCTTGGTCTATACAGAGGATGCTCTCCTTCCTGAGCTTTGGACTTCATGTTCTTGTATGCCTTTAACGCAGAAGCCTGAATTTCTAGTAACCAGAAAAATGCATTCTCATGCTCGTCAGCATATGGGCAATTTGTCTGCGCATGCRTKTGTCACGAAAGCATCTTCGAGAATGGGCGCCATTTTCTTTGGAACATGTTCTTTTTCGGGTTTTTGCTAGACTAGATYGCAAGGTTAAACACTTTGAATTGTAATAATTTCAATTAGAACCGAGAGTATACACGAGTGACTACACTGSCTATTCTTGATGTATTCCTAGGCTTTATATTTCGGTAGATATATTCCTTGAAATGATCTGAAAATATCGAAATTCATTGAACATATRGTTGTCTTCGTTTTGATTTTGCCTGCTGTTCAATTCAGGTTTTCTACCTTACAAGATATTGAGGCGAGTAATTGTGTAATGAAGTTTCAATGTTGACAATATCAATCTTTACTTCAGTCCCGATCACCCTTTGCTAATGCTTGCTTTTGTATGTGAAAATTAAAACAGTGCTGCTATTTGCCCAACTTCAGCGTCATTTAACACGAAAATTTTGCTTTCGCCCGTGAATAAAAACGGCACTGAGTGAATATATTACTTCTAGTAATTTCAGAAATGAAGTCATTTTTAAAATAAAAATTGCATAGCATGGATCGTTCGACGTTGTAGTTCAACCTTCGTGAAAGGCCGTCTCGTCGAGTTTTTAACCATTTTTTTACCTTACGGGTACCTCATATTTTCAAGTCTCTGGTCGACGAAATTCCTGGAGAAGGTAAATGGAGTGTTTTTCTTTAAATGTGTTTATTTTAAGCAAAATCAAGGTATTTTTTCTCGTGAAAACATTGAGAATTTCAATACAGACTTTGTCACTCGCATTGCTCTTGCTTTCAATATATTAAAATAACTTTCTATTTCTACTATCGCCCGTGCTTTTGTTTATCATCATTTTAAAGCTAAAAAGCTGTWAAATCGGGTGGGTATAGTCAAAGTATTGAATAAATTGTGTGCGCTTTTGTAAAGCACTATCAATATGGTGCACATGTGTGGCTGAGTGAACTGTGTTGTAACGTATGAATCCCTGGAAGCAAAATATAAAATTYGTCGACATAAGATCGAATATGCATTTGGCTGACTTTTTTTCCACAAACTACACAACCACTCTTGGACCTAACAAACTAGGTAGAATTAATAAACAATCAAAGCGAAGCAAGAAAGGGTACACKGCGAATTGAGACCGCTATGATAATTCTTTTGTTTACTTCACGCTCATCTACAAAAGGGCGCGAATCTGCTGGCGGGTAAGCGACGCCGCCGTCCATGGGCCCTTTYGTGCGCATGTGCAGACAGAATACCTACATGCTATGCTCATCATGTGTAGATGTAGAACTGTTTGCTCCCATGGCAACTCAGGGCTGCAGTTCTTTAAAACCCGCAGCACTTCTTGAGTTAGTATGTTGAATTTATTATAAGTGAAAGTTCATTTAAAGCTTTTAAGCTTAAAATCATGTCAAAATCTTTTCATTAGTTCATACCAAAACGTACTGAGAAAATACATCAAAGAGGCCTTTAGGCAGAGACATGTAGTATAATAAATAGATAAATATTTATTGCATGTTTTTAGGAAGCAAAAATCAATTTTTGTTATCTGATCATACATAGCTTCAAGAGAGATTTAACAAGCTTGGTGTGTGCTTAGTTCATAGTAGAATAGACACTCTTCTAAAACTGTTAGTCACTTCTCTGATTTGCTTATTCAAAGATTAAAGGCTGGCAAGGTGTTCCGAGGTACTGAGATTTGAAAATATTGGCAGGCCACATGAGAAAGGATATCTACATTTGTTTGCAAGCAACATCATTGAGAACAGGATAAATTTCAGTCATCTTTCCAATGACAATCCTAAAGTAGACGTCAAAACACTACCTCGCAGTACATGTTATAAATGAGTGGAAGCAGTATGCAGAAACTGCAAAAGTTCTTGTCTGCCTTGATTTCTTTTCAAACTTC